AGGCTTCTCTGCCCTTAAGCTACAGAATAACTGCTCGAAAATGACAAACATGAAAGACTCTCTGCAGAACTCCCATCCGTGGCTCCCAGGGCCTCGGGGGCCAAGCGCAGACTGTGCACCTGGCCTGGCCACCGTCTCATGCTGTCGGGGCCCTGGCCGCCACCCGGCTGGAGTCCAGGATGGTTTTTCACTGGTTACTCCCTCCCGTCTGTCACATGTCTGCAGGACGTTTGTGCTGGGACCAGGCTGGTGCAGGAGCCCCCTCCCCCCCCCGCCCACTCCCCTGCACTTGCTGCCGCCCCAGCCCCCATTCCTGGGCCCTGTGGTCATGGGTTTCCTCAGCGGTGCAAAGCCTTGCAGGTGCTGGGGTGCTGGGCTTTGAGGGAGCACCTGAAGGTCAGGACGCACTTGGGAGTGTTGGCTGACTGAGCGAGCGGCAGTGATTCGGGTCCCCTTTTGCATCCCCTGGTAACCTGTGTGCAAAGTGTGGTTTAAGGGGAATATTGGCAGATGGGTGCGTGATTGATGCCGTGATGGCTCAGAGGGGCCCTGGTCCGCCCGCTGCCCACCGTGGTGTTGGCGTCCTGGCTGCACGTGCCCGATGCACCTAGTGCCGTGGACTCTGCAGGGGGGTGGTGCCCCGCGTTGTTTGTCTCCATGTTTTCCCAGGCAGGTTTGCACACTCGTATCTATGGGATTAAGTGACACTGTCATTTCTTTAAATACTGAGACTGTTGCGGCTTCTGATTCTGAACATCTTCTGAGACCTGACTCTGCAAATGCTTTAGGCAGAAGACACGTCCTTATCTGCTGTACCCCCTCCCCGGGCTTTGAACCCGGAGACACCACCGTGCAGGTGCTGTGGCCTCCTCTACCCTCCCCACTCCCCCAGCCCCCAGTCTCAGCGTGTCTGGGGTTTTGCATCCTGGTACCAGGTTCCTAGCTTCTCTTCTGGAGGCTGCAGCCAAGGCTGTCCGATCCTGCCTGTGCCCTGCGAGGCCATCACGGACTCAGGTGGGCGGTTAGGAAGGAGGAAGCGTATGGACCGCCGCAGGGCTCCTGTCACGTTGCTCTGCGAGGTGACAGATGGAAGCACACGGCCGTCTTGCGGAAGGGTTGTCACGTGCGCCGGCCGTGGGGTGCTGGAACCTGGTCCCGCTGCGCCGCGCCCCGCCCTCCCTTTGCAGCCTCACCGCTCTGGCCGGCCGCTCCCGTCCGAAGCTGGCCAGAGGTCCAGAGAGTAAAAGGTGTTTGAAGACAGCCCCCGGCTAGCTGCTAACTGCTGTGACAGAGGCAGCGCGGACGGACAGACCGGGGAGAGGACAGGCCTTCCTTGCTTTTCTTTCCTACCCCTTTAGCTGTCAGCCGGTTTGGAAGGAAAGAGGAGTTTTACTAGAGCAGCCTATTACAATGAAATTTCCAGACCCGAAGGGTTTAGTGGTGTGTGGACTTGCCAGCATATATCTTGAGAAAATGACCCGTGGGACCCCCTTCTGAAGCCCCTGGCGGGGGGGCCTGCAGTGCCCTGGGGAGCAACAGGAGTCAGCCGGGCCCCCCGCCTGCAGCCGCCGCGCAGCAGACTCTCTCCTGAATCGTAGGGGCGCGTTCCTGGGACTTTGATGTTCCTGGGACTTTGATGTGGCTCTTTGGTGCCAGGCCAGAGCCTCGTTGTCCACTATTCCGGGAACGTCCCTGTGGCCATCATTGACTTCCCAAAGGGTCCCGGGCTGGGCGCCGCTTCCCGGTGGGGTTGCTCCTGGACTGTGGGCAGGGGGGCGTGCGGGGCTGGGCCTGGCACGTGGGCGCCGATGCGGTGCTCCCTGTTTCTGCTGCATGAGCCTGAAGACAGAGGTCAGAGCGCTACGTGCACGCGTGTTCCCGCCTCCCTGGTTCGGGCTGGCGGGGAAGGTGGCGTTGCCAGACCCAAAGCCCGCGCTGAGCCTGGGGTCACCGTCCGGGTGTTTCAGACCCACGGGGGTCTTGGCGCTCATGCAGGCCAGGTGCTTACAGAACGCTTTTGTTTTGGCAGCAAGACTTTTTTTTTCCTCTTTTGTTTCCAAATCAACTGGCGCCTGTGGGCTGAGCGGGGGTAGATGACTCAGAAGCCCGTTCTCTGCTCCCCGAGGCTGCAGGCCGTGCCAGGTACCCGCAGGAGACCGCCCACCTGCTGGCTTCGGAGGACCCGGGACTACAGTGTCCCCGTCCTCCCTGCCCTCCGGCCACATGCCAGGGGTCCCCGGCAGCATTTTACGAGCTCTGCTTAGTTTCCATGGACTTTGGCTCGGATGTGGCACAAGCAGCCACCCCCTGGCCCCTCCTGGGAAGCACTTGCAGGGAGCCTGTGACGCGGTACCCTAACTCGGAGGAAGCGCAGTGCGTCTCCTGGAGAAGAAGTTTGAAAGCTCTGTCCCCCTCTGACGAGCTCGAGCCGGGGACAGGGTCCCCTGCGAGGATCTCCTGTGCCCGAGGATCTCCTGTGCCCGGGCCCTGTTGGGCACTTTGCTCGTGAAACCTGCCTTATTCCTCACAAGGAGCGCGGACTTGGGCCTTTCCGCCTTGTTTTGGACACGAGGAGCGCAGACCCGGAGACGGTGAGCTCGGTGCCGCAGGGCGGTTGCGGGGCTGACCCCACGTCGGGTGCAGGATGCCCGGCTCTGGGTCCTGCCCTCCTCCGTGCAGGCAGCGCTGGGGACGTGCCATCTCCTGCACACCGGCTCCTGCGGCCCGTGGCCAGCGCGGCTCAGCGCGGGACTCTGACACTTCTGTGTGGTGGAAGGCCAGTTCCCTCCCAAAACCCTTCAGGGACAGGTTGGGGAAGAGGACCTGGGTCGTGCCCAAGGTCAGGTGTCCAGGGTGTTCTGGGTGGGTTGTGAAGACCCTTGGATACAAGCTGAGGGATCTACTGGACGCCCCGGCGAAGCTCCTCGACGAGGCTTTCAGCATGTGGCTCCCAGGCGTGGCTCAGCAGTGCCAGCTGCCGGCCTGACCATCCTCTTAGTCCCCCAGGGCGGGACACATGATGGTCCCACCCAAGTACCCAAGACCTATCCCCAGCACACAGCACTCCCCGTGGGAGGCCAGGGCCACCGGATCCTGCAAATGCACCGTGGCGGCCCAGCTCCTGGTGAGGCTGGTGGAGTCCGTGGGAAGCATCCCAGTCAGCCTGCAGCTCCCGGGGGCCCTCCCACCCACGTCCCTGGGGCCGGGAGGCCTCGCTCTCCACGGCTGCACCTGGGGGCTGCCGGGAGGTGGGCAAGGTAGGAAGGAAGCAGAGGGATTGACAGGAGCGGTGGGGACTGAGAACTTTTGCAAAGTAGTTTGATGATTGATTGGAAACACAGAGACCCTGGGGTCCATTTGCTCGCTCACGTCCCGGGGAACTGTGGCTGGAGCAGCAAGTGGGTGTCCAGGCCCCTGGGACCCCACAGGGCTTGTCTGCCGTAGTGCCGCTCTCATGGGGGCCCACAGGGTTAGTGCTGTGTCACTTCCTCACTGCGACCCTTTGTTTCCTCACAGCACCTTGTGCCCTCACATTCTGGGATTCTAAGAATGAGTTGATCTTTAGAAATGCACTGATTGGGTGCCTGGGTGGCTCAGTTGGTTAAGCGTCTGCCTTTGGCTCAGGTCATGATCCCAGGGTCCTGGGATCGAGTCCCGCATCGGGCTCCCTGCTCAGCAGGGCATCTGCTTCCTCCCTCTGCCCCTCCCCTCTCTCTCTCTCATACATAAATAAAATCTCTTTAAAAAAAACCCCAGAAATGCACAGATTTCCTGTAATATCTGGGAGGATATTCTATGACCGTGGAGGCCATTAGAAAACTGTGTGGAAACATGGGAGGAGAAAAAGTAAACTGTGCGGTTTGGGTTTTTTGCTCATTGAAACCCTCTGATTTTATTTTCTTCTGTTCCTCCCCTGGGTTGGGCTGGGATGTGCAGCGTGGACGTTTGTTCCTTTGGAAGGAGGTCTTTAAGCAGAGCCGAGTGTCTCTCTGAGGTTTCCAGAGCAACGCTTAGAGTCTGGCTCACATTCCTATTTTTGAAAACTTAGCAAAAGTTTGCTTCTGATGCCCGGAAGGCATGCCGGGAAGGGAGCCTCTGCTTTTGTTTTGTTAGAGCAGTGGAGTGGGGTGAGGCCCCTGGGGTCCCCGGATGCTACTTCATCGGGGCGACGAGAGTGGCCGGCGTGTATCCTGGACGGTGATGACCGACACACACACAGAAAGACACTTGAGCCAATCTGGGGAGTGAAGAGAAAGCACTCGTGCCTCAGAAGTGCTGGCGTGCACAGAGGTTGATGGAAGTCAGAAGCGCCGTGGGCTTGTTCAGCACGTGGCATTTATTTCTTCTCTCTGCTCCCAACCTCCTCGTCCCCAGCAGGCACAGTCATGGCCGTGACGTCTGTACGCGCGGGGTCCTGGTGTGTGCACGGGTGAGTTGTCACAGGGTCCCTGCACCGATGCCGTGTTCACGTGTGCAGGTGGTTGGTTTGCTCCCTTCAGCTGAAGGAAGGACGGGCCTGTGTGTTATTTTGAATCTGGCAGCAGAGGGATCTTGTGAAGTCACTGGTCAGTGTGATGCCTTTTTAAGGTGTGTGCACGCTCGTGTGTGTGTGTGTGTGTGTGTACATCCGTGTGTGGTATTGGGGAAAGCTTAAAAAAACCTACTTTGGTGTTTGAAATAAACCTGGTCCTCTTGATGTCTTTCTTGGTTTGTGGATTTTTTTTTTATTTATTTATTCATGAGACACACACACACACACACACACACAGAGAGAGAGAGAGAGAGAGAGAGAGAGAGGCAGAGACACAGGCAGAGGGAGATGCAGGCTCCATGCAGGGAGCCCCACATGGGACTCGATCCCGGGTCTCCAGGATGGCGTCCTGGGCCGAAGGCAGGCGCCAAACCGCTGTGCCACCCAGGGATCCCCTTGGTTTGTGGATTTATCATTTGTCTCCTCTATGCCTTTTGTCGTGTTTTCTCTTTTAAAACGTCATGTGATGGTGCTCGCTTCGGCAGCACAGCTACCGAGACGTTGCAACGACACAGGGAAGGTTAGCACGGCCCCTGCACGAGGACGACACGCAGAAACATCACGGGATGGTTCTGCGGCTGGCAGAGAAATAATAAATGCTTTTCTTTTCCTACGCCTAACGTTGAGTCAGTTCACGGGTGTCTTACTGCCCCGAGTCACGTCACAGAAGGGTTGGTTGCTTTGCAGGTATTTGATTTGTGTTCGGATTGCACTTTCTTCCTTTAGCTGTACTCAGACGTTAGAACCATAATACGCAGCAGCGACCCGACACCGGGAAAGAACAAATTATTTTCTGACGGTTGGAGGTATTTTATTTTCGACATTGGACTCCTATGAAAGCCCATTTTCTGATTTCGGATGCTATTAACTGTTCATCTAAGTTCTGTATTAAGCACCGACGTTGCCCAAGGCCCTGCAAGTGGAGCTTTTGGGGAGCCAAAGATAGACGCCGATCTGGCCTGGAAAGAGATTTTAATGTGCGGGGAGAGACGAGCTGCGCGCGGCAAGGACGCCCTTAACGTTCATTTCGGTAAACGGGGAAATAAGCGAGCCACGGCGAGGAGGGCTTGCGGTGCGCGGCTCCACGGGGTGCGCGGCTCCACGGGGCCGGGCCTCCACTTCCAGAGCGCGGCCGGGGACTGTTTCTCATCTCTGGGTGGGTCTGCCTGGCATCGCTTTGCTCCCCCGTAGCAACATCCTCCGACCCCGGAGGGGCCTCTTCCGTGAAGCATTCCTGGCCAGGCCCCCTGGAGATGCGGCCTCTCCTGGGGCCGCCCTCCCTGTGTGGCCCGGTGGACGTAGGACTGGTTGTGTCTCTTGGCGTTTTGGAAACTGTCTCTCACTCACTCTAAACACGTGTAATACTCCGTGTGAGCTCCAACCTCCTGGCTCAGTGTCCTCCTCTGTAGAGTCAGGTAGCACACACACAGCCCCTTGGACTGTGGCGGTAGCTCCACTACCTTGGCAGGTGAACTCACGCAGGTAACCTGACCACTTACTGGGCCATCAGTAACACATTACTCTTTCCCTTCTATTTTATGGAGTTCATGATGCACTTGGGTTATTTTATCGACTCCACGTGAGCTTCCCGAGGTGGGGTGCCCATAGCCGGTGCCCAGCCCAGGGCCTCACACGCAGAAGGTGTTTGGTTCATGACTGGGTGACCCCATGCTCTTCCTGTGGTTTGTGGCCTCATGAGACTAGTGCTGAACCTTTGGGGGGGGCGGTCTTTGAACTGTGGTAGCGTTGGCCATGGAAGAGAGATCCCCATGAACATAATGGCAATTTTATTTATTTATTTATTTATTTATTTATTTATTTATTTATTTATTTATTTATTTGAGAAGGAGAGAGAGAGAGAGGTGGGGCAGGGGGAGAGGGAGAGAGAGGACCCTAAGGAGGCTCCATGCTCAGCGCCAAGCTCAACATGGGGCTCGATCTCACAACCCTGAGGTCATGACCGAGCCAAAATCAAGAGTCAGATGCTTAGCCGATTGAGGCACCCAGGCGCCCCAACATCATGGTAATTTTAAAAGGTGGATGACTAAGGAGACCGTCCCACGCACTGGAGCAGAGGAACGAGAAGTTGACGTCGACCGGAATCAGGCTAACAAGTCCAGGAGAAGCAGTTGGACCCCTGAAATCCAGTTTCTGGGTTTGAGATGTGTGAGGACGTTTCTTTCTGGACCGTGCCCCGTGCCTTCCACAGGGACACACAGGGCTCTGGAGAGGAGGAGGGGTCGAGGCAACATTGAGAGTTCTCCGATGATAGGAAGGTTAAGTAGCCCAAAATGCAAGCCTGACTTTTGGTTGAGCGTATGTCCACCCTCACTGGCCACACAAGGAGTCTTCGGGTCGAAATAGGTCCCGTGTTAATCTGTATAAGTGACTGTGTGGGTCCACGCAGATGCCGTCTCTCGGGGGTCCTCCACCCTGATGGCGGGATGAGGGCACATCGCAAGAGAAGAGGCTCAGGTAGACCGAGGACCTCAATAACTTCCCTCCCTGGGCCTCCTCCCTTTCCCGTGTTTCTCTCTTCTTTCCTTCCTTCTGTCCTTTTAATCGAAGAAGAGAAGCCTTCTAGCTGGTTCACGACTCATCTAGAGGTAAAACTCAGGGTTTCTGGGTCATATGTCCTTTATGTGCAGTCGCTGGATGGGGAATGGGGGTTTTTAAAGATGAATTTAGTATAGTGTGTGCCCCCAGTTGGGAGGGGAAGGTGGGGGCGCGCAGTCTGCACGCGGAAGGGAGCGTTGCATTCGAAAGTCATCCCGCTGGGAGCCGTGCTAGGAACTGGTGGCTCGAGTGTCGTCTTCTCCTCGCGCACCGCCGGGCCCCGTGACCAGCCTGCGGGCAGAGCTGTAGAAGAGCTAGTGAGGTGGCCCGGACGAGAGGCAATGCAGGGGGCCCAGAGATGGGAAGGGACACGCAGGAAAACGAGCAGCCGGAGAGCACGTCGCCCTCGGGTCTGAATTCTCCTTCTGTGGAATCCTCGTCCCGTGGTTTGAGGTCCAGGAGGCCGTGAGGAGTCGGTGCAGAGGTTGGAGACCGCGGAGGCAGGGGTCCTGCTGCAGCTTCTGCAGGACGCTTCCCGTGGGGTGGCGTGGACACCAGTTCCCCTCAGCTCTGCCGCCCGGGGGCTGCCAGGATGGAGCATCGCGGGGAGCGTGAAACACTCTGCACGCAGAATTTGTGGTGTGGCCACGGGGGGACATGGACGTGTCCCTGGTCACTGCAAGGGGGTGCATCGGAGGTAGTGGTGCAAGGCTGAGCTGCTCAGTGGTGTCTGCAGGGCCACGATCGCAGGGGCCAGTGGACGTGCCGGGTCAGCGGGGCCCCAGGCCCCCTCCTGCATGGAGTCTGTTTTCTCTCAATTACCCAGTTATAGAAAAGTCTGTATATTTAGGACTTTAATGAGCTTGGGGGACCCTACAAAGGGGTGGGTCCCTCTTACATTGTTGGACACAGATGTAACCTTCCCACGCGGAGAGCAGGTGCATGTGTATGTGACTTCACTGGAGGCGTAGAGGGGACGGCCAGTGGCTCTCAGTTCTGGAAAGCGTTACAGGGTTATGTCCTCAGGACTCCACAGATGAAGCCATTTCCCTGTCATTTTCCAGGTAAACAGCACTTTTTTTCGGTAATTTTGTCATCTTAAAAGGAAGTCTCCGTTTTAACAACCAGTATACGTTCACTGGGGGTTTCATTGATCGTTTCCCATTTTTTAAACAGGATCTGCGTCTTAGTTTCGAGAGAGTTAAGTGTTTCGTGTTATGTATTTATTTATTTTTATCCTATTTAGTTTTTTTTTAAAGATTTTGTCTATTTGACAGAGAGAGTGTGTGTGAGTGAGCGCAAGCAGGGGCAGAGGCAGAGGGAGAGCAGGGAGCCCGATGAAGGACCCTGGGATCATGACCTGAGCCCACGGCAGATGCTAAAATGACTGAGACACTTGGGTGCCCCTTTAGTGTCTTATTTAAAAAGAAAGAAAGGGGCAGCCCTGGTGGCTCAGTGTTTTAGCATCTGCCTTTGGCCCAGGGTGTGATTCTGGGGTCCCGAGATCGAGTCCCACGTCGGGCTCCCTGCATGGAGCCTGCTTCTCCCTCTGCCTGTGTCTCTCCCTCTGTGTATGTGTGTGTGTGTGTGTGTGTGTGTGTGTGTGATGAAAAAATGAATAAAATCTTTAAAAAAATAGGAAGAAAGAAAGAGGAAAAACTCCCCAAACACCACAATCACACCTTTGGTCCTAGAGGAGGCATTTGCTGAGCAAACAGTTGTGTGCCCCATCCTGTGAGGCACCGACTTTGTCTCGTTTCCTAAGTCCTATACTTAGTAAGAAAAAGGGGTGATTTGGTCGACCACGTGAGTCTCATCAGGACACATCGGCTGGGGCCACTCTGGAAGATTTTACCATTGGGGCTTTGCCCCACATGGTGGATGTTGTCTTCTCAGGATGCAGAAACCAAAACAGCGTCGCATGCAGACTGGCCGGTCGGCAGGACCGGCCCTGCCTTCCCAGAACCTGCGGGCCTGTGCTTTGAGGTTTGTTTTGGGAGAAGGACAAATTGCCACTGTCGAAATCCCCAATCACCAAAATATCCCTGACAGCCTATTATAAAAAGAACATTTTAAGGTAGAGGTTAATAGTAGCTCGATCCCTTTTCGGTGAGGGCCTCCCCCGCCGGCATCCTGCAGTCCAGTAAACAGTGCCTTGGAAGCCGCTCCCAGGTGGCCCGAAGACGCTCCCGTTCATTCAGGAGAGTAATGACTGCGGGGGGTGTTGTGTGCACAGGACACGGAGGAGCCAGCGGTTGGGCGAGCGCCTGGGCTCTGCACTTGCCTGATCCTTCAGCCGCTGATGCCTGGACGGGCACATGGCCCAGCTCCCTGCTGCAAGCCCTGTGGCCGCACTGCCCGGGCGTTGCCACCTGGAAGCCCTCTGTGCTTGCACCTGCATGCTTCTACCCCACATAGACGCCTTTCCCCACATTGTCCCTTGAGTTCTTGCCTTGGTGTCTGCTAACGGGGTTGTGAGCTTTATAGCCATCTGCAAGGCATTGTGGGGACTCCTCCATCCCCGCTTCCTCCTGCATGCCCCCGATCACCGCCCCTCGTGGTCCATTGTTCGCTCCACGGCTGGAGGCTCTTAGCAGGTTCACACGTGGAGGGGGATGCATTCTCACCCATCGCTGTGCTTTTGGGTGGTTCTTCCTCTAATTAGAGTCGACTTTATCTGACAAATCACAAGTCAAGCTCTGAAAATGTTACGTGAGCCACGTCATTCCTCATCCACAGAGGGGTGCAGCTCCTTGTCACCTTCCACAGGAAGTCTTCCTGGAAGCACCAGGCTTGGGTGTGCCCAGCTGGGAAAGGCCAGGAGCCCCACGGCCTGCTCCCCTGCACCCCCTGGCCCAGGGCCTGCACCTCCTCGCCCCAGGACTTGGTCTGAGGATCCCCCCTCGGCCTGTCCCTGCAGGGGGGAGGCTGCAGGTGTGGAGATGAGACCCCAGCCCTGCCTGGAGCAGCCGCTACAGGACGGGGTGATGATGAGCAAGGTGTGACAGTGCCCCCCCC